TCCAAATATCTTGTGTCCCATTTGAATCAGTTATAAGGTGTCGTGCTCTCTGAGCAGTCTTCATGTCCAGTAAGAGTTGCACATTTTGTTATAAACTCACATATAATTGGGAAATGATCAGACTCATCTAGTTCCCCAACCTTGAAATAATCGATAGCAGAAAATAGAGGTGAACTAGCAATTAGATAATCTACAACACTTTGACTATTATTTGAAACACAAGTAAAATCACCAAAATGATCCCCTTGATATCTCCCGTTGACAATATGCAAGGAGTGAGATATACAGATATCTAACAAACGTCTACCAAAATTATTGACCTCTGAATCTCTGTTGTTCCTATTGACGTGTACATCATCAGTGTCATACCACTCACCACCTGGGAGATAATCAGCACTGTCATCAATAATACAATAATAATAATAGTAGTAGTTTATTATAGTGTCATGTGTTATAAATGATGGGACAGCATAGTACAGCATATAACATGCAAACACCAGGCCTCGAGAGGCCGAAATGACACCTTAAAAAAGAATATCAGCAATATTTAAAAAGCGTTAAAAAAAATATGAAAAGATTGTTGACATATATACACACTTAGATACATGCATAGGTACATATTTAAATACTAGCATCGATGCGTACAAACATAGATAACTACAAAGATACTTTCATTCATAAATTCATCCATACATAGACGTATACATACCTAAATACATACATAGACACATGCATACATAGACACTTACATACATAAACACAAACAACACGCACACACACGCACACATACATACATGCACGCACGCGCACACACACACACACACACACACACATCCATCCATGCATGCATGCATGCATGCATGCATGCATGCATCCATGCATGCATACATACATACATACATACATACATACATACATACATACATACATACATACATACATACATACATACATACATGCATACATACATACATACATACATACATACATACATACATACATACATACATACATACATACATACATACATACATACATACATACATACATACACATACATACATACGTATACATACATACATACATATAACATACATACATACATACATACATACATACATACATACATACATACATACATACATACATACATACATACATACATACATACATACATACATACATATCATCATTTGACAACAACCAGCAAAACTTATCACACATAAATAAGGTCCATAAAGCTTGAGTTTAGTTGGTTACATTTATAAAAAAGTCTCGTTCTGATGTCGGAGTAGAAGCTACACTCCATCATGAAGTGCACCTCATCTTCTACTGCGTGGCCGTCACACAGTGTACACCGTCTATTTTGAAGGGGGGTCACAGGCTTGGTATACCGTCCTTTCTCAATATTGAGGGGCAGGCTTCCACTACGAAACGAAGCAAGCAGGCTTCTTTGCTGTCTAGTTATGTTTATTCTTGTGTAGTGACAGACACATATTTCTTGTTTATAGAGTCTATATGTTCTGAGTTTGTTCCCATTGGATCTGTTATGGTCATTGAACAAATCGTGGAGCCACTGATCACTGTCTCTTTGGTCTAAAATGTCAAGGGCTGTTTGTAGTAGTTCAGTTCTGTTAATATTTAAGCAAAACACATTAATATTTTCCTTTCCATGTATGTCGAGTTTTTTAATGAAGTCTTGGGTTCTGTAATCCCAGGATGATTATCTCCGCACTGACCATCTATGAAGAGCTGGACTTAATGAATCCGGTTCGGCCGTTACTATTTTGTGATAATGGCGGATTACTTCAGTCTTTATTTTCGAGTCAGAGCTTCTCCAACCCAAATCACCTCTCACAGCTATAGTTGATGTGTTTTTTCTAACTCCAAGGAAAAAGCTTCCTGCTTTATTCTGGATTTGGCCTATTTCCTTGTATTGATTTACAATATTGGTACCTGTTCTGGAGTTAAAGTCACCTGTGAGTATAATGTCAGAATCATAACAAGATTGGATATCATGAAGACATTCATCTAATGTATCTAGACTGTCACTTTCTTTTCCAACATAATACTGTTAATATTCTGGTGAAATATACAACACTCCAATCACAAGATCTCTAGAAAAACCAAAGACTTTCTTATCAAACAGTATGTAGACAGCATTTTGAATATGTGAGAGTATTCTTGTACAACACAAACGTTTATCAACATACACACCAACTCCTCCATGCTTTAGTTTGTCTCTGCAAGTAGCAAACAGTTGATGTGTGTCTAAGAGAAATGTACTATAGTCCTGTAAAGAATACAACCATGTTTTACATAATCCTACCACCGAGTATAGTGATAATACATGTTCTAAGTGTTTATTCTCTAGATGGCGTTTGAGAGATTGGCAGTTCCAAGTGAAGATAGAGAATGTGTGTGAATCAGTATCTGTATAAGTATCCGGGTAGTGTGTCAATGACTGGGCCTGGCCTAAACTCTGTCTGATCTCAGTCAGGGCATTGGTTTTGGAGTCAAAGTCATATGACTTAGCTTAGTACATTGGAGTAAAGGTAAAGGTATATTGTAGTAAAGGCATAAAACGAATGAGTTTTTAAGTTAAAATAGTATTGTTATAGACTGCAACCCAGGACCTCGATGCAGCTGGCTACTGAAACTGGGCTAAACTAGTTCTACATGGATCAGATTGCACACTGAGGATGAAAGTGACACTAAATTATCACACTAAATATTTAAGCCTATCTATAGATGAACTATCTATACATCTATATATAAAACTCCAGATTTTATCTGCACAAGATCTTGCAAAAACATCCAGAGGATCAAATGTATTATGAATATCTGAGTTGTTGTAGGAGAAGCGATCTCTAAATTTTGTTGTGCCCTCGCCTTTTTTGCTTGCTTTTTTCTTTACTTGTTAAATCGCCATTTCTTTGCTGGTCAACGGTTCTTCACGGGTGCCTACAATGAAAAGTAAGTGTCGTCATAGGCGACGCATAACGGTAGTAGCTATGTCGTCATCATGCACATGATGTTACAGTTAGTGACAATAGGTAATATGTAATAGATATTTAACACATATCTTCTTAGGGAGTTGAAAATACTGTTCATAAAGCAGTAAAAGTCCCAAGAGACACTTAAACAAAAGAAACAAATACAGAGATGAACATTCTTCCATTTGTTTGTACCTACAATACTAATAACTGTACAATTATGCCCATTATAAAAGAAAATCATCCAATTTTGTATTAAAGTGATACTATGAAAAAAGGTTTATCAGTCAGTGTAACAAATGCGGAACTTGTTCAAACATTACTGAAGACTGCAAATTTACATTTTGTGAAGGCAAACTATTTACTGTCAACACCAACATGAACTGCCGCAGCCAAAACATATGTTTTATTTGTTTTGTGTTGTGTTGGGCAAATCCATTAAGCAGACGCAGGTGACAACCTGTAGTTAATCTGGGCAATGGACCATAACATGTGTTGTTTTAAGCTGTAGTTCTTATGGGATGTAGTTCTTATCGGCTTATCCTCGTTTTGCCACCACCCTGAAAAGGATTACCAGTTACTTTGTTTATACAAGCACAGGGGTCATGTCAAAATCACGATAATGTTACCTGCTTTTGTTCTTCCAATCAACACGCATGACTGCTTCGCCACCCTTAACAATAGGGTGGTGGCAAAACGAGGAGACCCAGTTCTTAAGGGAGGACACCAATCCGGCTAGGGTCCATGCAGGACCCCTTTAAAGTTCATATCTTTCATCTGTTCCTCGACAGCTTCAAATGTTGCAGACATTTTCAACATTGATTTCAATGAAAGGTCATCTCCTTTTTCCAGAAACTTCCGTCTCAAATGGTCCGACTTACAATTTCCAACCACCTGATCACGAATCTGGTTTTCAACATCAGTATATTCACAGCCTTCAGACGCCTCACGTGACCTTGTTACATACTGTGACACAGTTTCATCACTCTGCTTCATTTTCCTGAAAATATGGTGTTGGTACGTCACATTAGGTTTGACAGTTAGATGATCATTCAAATCCTTTGTGGCCTTGAAATATTCTTGAGACGACCCCCGATCGTGCAACGTCTTAAAAACACCCCTAAGTCCAGCTCCGGCTATATACAACAGTAGTGCACGCCTTTGTGCCTGATTATGTGCTTTTCCCACCTCAACAAATAATGTTTTCTGTGAGCGTATGCCTCAAACTCTTCTATCCAAGCTTTCCAAAGGATACTCACTGCGCTAGCATCACCAGAGAGGTCGAATGAAGGCATCGCACGAACATCGCTAAATTCTGCCATTTTCTCACTGAACAAAGTTGAAATTTACCCTTTTACGGCTTCCTCGTGCGTTTATTATCCTCGTCGCCAATGTTATTTTGCAGCATGACAATTCAGTTACAACTGCAATCTTCAATTTACCACACAACAGTTTAGGTTTCTCCACCCCATGCTCCATTTATTACATCCGGTCATCTAATACAAAACACATACTCATAAGTGGAACGAAATATTCCGCATCCCACAATACCGACACGACATTAAGCACTCGAAAAGTTGCATTTACCTCATAGTTTCTATATGACTATCAAATTTTAAGGGTGTTACCATGCTTTTTGTTTGTAGAGTATAATGAGTCCGGTCCATACACGTTAGTTACCGCGTTTGGGCATAAGACCCCTAGCAGCGTTATTCGTTCCGCATACGCTTATTGTAATTATCTTTTGAATTAGGTTAATTAAAAGCTAGAATTTGTAAGAATCGATATACTGTCAAATCTGACAAGCGTTAAAGCATTTATCAAGCATATGCCCATTGACATGTCTTATCAGTGAGAGCTTTCTTTGAAATACGTTTTTATTTGCAATATCTCTATGAAACTGATCATGACGGTTGGGATGGGAAATCAAATATGCTGACGACCACGTCCCCCACACCTAACCTGTTACAACATCTGTACCCACGATTTGTGTTCCGCTTCTCCTGCAGCGACTGCTTCAGCCATGGACTCAGCATGTAGATGTTTTGTAAATAAACACTAATCCTTTCCTTGCTCGGGTGTTCCTTTTACTTTATTCCACCTTTGATCAGCTGATCACCCAATACTCTTGATACAGTCGGAATCGTACAGATGGCGTCGACCACAGACGTCCTATGATCAGGGAAAGGTTTTCACGCTTTGATGTTTCTTATTCAAAGCCCAACGGATGCTTTGTAAAATACAGGTTTGGAACAAAGTTGGATGTTTATATTTTCAACCAAATTGTTCAGGAATACTAAATGTTTTGAAGTAATATAATGTACATCTTTTTACCGTTGTATTCAAATCAATCAGACTAAATTTGTGAGTTATGGAAGTGAAGATGTCTCCATGTCTTCCACAGAGATTGGTACTGGTTGTGTAGTACTTACATTCCTCTCTATGCCTTATTACAACCTGTATCTGGCCTGGCCCATCTACTACATGGTGAAGTCCTGCTCCAGCGTCCTGCCTTGGACAACCTGTGGCAACGACTGGAACACCGACCTGTGTGTGGAAGACTTGAGGAACGTCACCCACAGGAGCAACAACGAAACTACCCCGACTGTTAACATAACCGTCCCTGTCCCACAGCGTTGGGAAAATGTCACGCTCGCTCACTCGACGTCTGAGGAGTGTTGGCAGTAAGAGAGTAACAACCGCTACGTATTATGGCGACTGAATGAGCATCGTGCATTGTACATTCTTCAAAACACTCTCCAGGCTTGCATACTGTATTTGTGTCACTCCACTCTCAGTTATATGTGGTATAGTTGTGACGACACGGACATCACTGGGTATGCTCTGTTGATGACATACTTCTAACTGAAAACACTCTCCAGGCTTGCATACTGTATTTGTGTCACTCCACTCTCAGTTATATGTAGTATATTTATGACGACACGGACATCACTGGGTATGCTCTGTTGATGACATTCTTCTAACTGAAAACACTCTCCAGGCTTGCATACTGTATTTGTGTCACTCCACTCTCAGTTATATGTAGTATATGTATGACGACACGGACATCACTGGGTATGCTCTGTTGATGACATTCTTCTAACTGAAAACACCCTCCAGGCTTGCATACTGTATTTGTGTCACTCCACTCTCAGTTATATGTAGTATATTTATGACGACACGGACATCACTGGGTATGCTCTGTTGATGACATTCTTCTAACTGAAAACACTCTCCAGGCTTGCATACTGTATTTGGGCCACCCCACTCTCAATTATATAGAGTACATTTATAACGACACGGACATCACTGGGTATGCTCTGTTGATGACTAATTTCTAACTGAAAGGGTAAGCACCATTCTTGCTAAACGTCGTGTAAATGAATGCAAGTCAGTGATTGTAAACACACCTAACGTCTAACAAGAATTGTTCTGCATTGAAAGGATGTGTTATCCCAACAAGAGAAGCCCTGTTAATCCCAGACCCAGGAGACCAAACATACACGTTACAGGTGTGTGGACCTTAGTATGGTGGATATTATGTGTAGACATTATGATGACAAATTATAACAAGCAATACAACCAACGGAATCCGACTCAGAACCTTACATAAACCCCTCGTGAACGGTCTAACCAAAATACCATTTTAATTACTTTTCAGAATATGTCATCCAGACATTCATTTGAATACAAGAACTCAACCAGTTTAACTTCCTATGTAATATTATTACATTTGCATGTCCTTTATAATCAAAATCAACGGTATATGCCTGATGAGTGAGCGAGCGAGCATCCCCGACAGTGCACATCGCTGACAACGTGAAGCCAGAGGCATTAGAAATTCAATGCACTTCAGACACAGTTGGTTATTTATTTTATGAACTATCATGTATATTATCATGTATACTATTACGTTTAATTTCTTCCGACTCAACTGGCTTCATCAATTGCTCTTGTTAATATATTTTATGTCTACCATCATGCTGGTTTTGTTAATTCCTATTGAGTCGGTTCTGTGCTGTAGTATTCCAAACTTTAGACTATTGTCATTGTAGCATGTACTGAAAGAGACCTGTCTCCGTTCTTGAATCCAGACTACTGTTGGAAGTTGTCTAAACATCCTAACTGCACAGAGCCGAAACGTTTCTTTGCAGTTGACTCAGTATGTATGAAAAGCTTCAGGCCTTGTGATTAAGGCCAGGTACGTGACGCATAAACGCAATCCTATGATATAGTCGGAATTGCAGTTTCGTTTTCCTATGGCAAAGCATTTCTATTTTCAGGTATGATGTACTGAGTATCTCGACCGGGTTGGATGACGTGGGGTCTGTACAGTGGCATATAGTTGGGTGCCTCTTTGCATCATATGTGCTGATCTTTCTATGTCTGACCCATGGAATTAGGTCCGCGGGCAAGGTAAGACAACGCAGAACTGTAGGACTCCACTAGTCTGGGGAAACTATATGATCAGCTAGAAAGGTATATGTCCGATACATATTTAAAGACGTATGGCTATTGTTTTGAAACGTTTTCAGGATACGCTATAAAGTATTCTTTGAAACTAGGTTGTGTATGTCACTGCGCTATCTTCATCACGACATTGCTAAACCCTGGAGCCACAGACGGCCTTCTATACTTCCTCGTCCCCGACTTCACACAACTACTTGACATACAGGTGCGTAACATCTTGACATACAGGTGCGTTACTACTTGACATACAGTGGCGTTACTACTTGCCATACACGTGCGTTACTGATTGACATACAGGTGCGTTACTACTTGACATACAGGTGCGTTACTACTTGTCATACAGTGGCGTTACTACTTGCCATACACGTGCGTTACTGATTGACATACAGGTGCGTTACTACTTGCCATACAGGTGCGTTACTACTTGCCATACAGGTGCGTTAAAACTAGATATACAGGTGCGCTACTACTTGACATACATGTGCGTTACTAGTTGCCATACAGGTGTGTTACGACTTGAGAAACTGGTGCGTTACTTCTTGCCATACAGGTGCGTTACTACTTGCCATACAGATGTATTACTACTTGCCATACAGGTGCGTTACTACTTGCCATACAGGTGCGTTACTACTTGCCATACAGGTGCGTTACTACTTGCCATACAGGTGCATTACTACTTGCCATACAGGTGCGTTACTACTAGACATAAAAGTGTGTTACTACTAGACATACAGATGCGTTACTACTTGACATACAGGGGCGTTATGACTTGAGAAACTGGTGCATTACTACTTGCCATACAGGTGCGTTACTACTTGATATACAGGTGCGTTACTACTTGCCATACAGGTGTATTACTACTTGCCATACAGGTGCGTTACTACTTGCCATACAGGTGCGTTAAAACTAGATATACAGGTGCGTTACTACTTGCCATACAGGTGCGTTACTTCTTGCCATACAGGTGCGTTACTACTTGACAGAAAGGTGCGTCACTTTGCCATACAGGTGCGTAACATCTTGCCATACAGGTGCGTTACTACTTGACATACAGTGGCGTTACTACTTGCGATACACGTGCGTTACTGATTGACATACAGGTGCGTTACTACTTGACATACAGGTGCGTTACTACTTTCATACAGCGGCGTTACTACTTGCCATACACGTGCGTTACTGATTGACATACAGGTGCGTTACTTCTTGCCATACAAGCGCGTTACTACTTGACATACAGTGGGACTACTTGCCATACAGGTGCGTTACTACTTGCCATACAGGTGGTGTTACTACTTGACATACAGGTGCGTTACTACTTGCCATACAGGTGCGTTACTACTTGCCATACAGGTGCGTTACTACTTGCCATACAGGTGCGTTACTACTAGACATAAAAGTGTGTTACTACTAGACATACAGATGCGTTACTTCTTGACATACATGGGCGTTATGACTTGAGAAACTGGTGCATTACTACTTGCCATACAGGTGCGTTACTACTTGCCATACAGGTGCGTTACTACTTGCCATACAGGTGTGCCATACACGTGCGTTACTTGACATACAGGTGCGTTACTACTTGCCATACAGGTGCGTTACTACTTGCCATACAGGTGCGTTAAAACTAGATATACAGGTGCGCTACTACTTGACATACATGTGCGTTACTAGTTGCCATACAGGTGTGTTACTACTTGCCATACAGGTGCGTTACTTCTTGCCATACAAGCGCGTTACTACTTGACATACAGTGGGACTACTTGCCATACAGGTGCGTTACTACTTGAAATACAGTGGCGTTACTACTTGCCATACAGGTGCATTACTACTTGCCATACAGGTGCGTTACTACTAGACATAAAAGTGTGTTACTACTAGACATACAGATGCGTTACTACTTGACATACAGGTGCGTTATGACTTGAGAAACTGGTGCATTACTACTTGCCATACAGGTGCGTTACTACTTGCCATACAGATGTATTACTACTTGCCATACAGGTGCGTTACTACTTGCCATACAGGTGCGTTACTACTTGCCATACAGGTGCGTTACTACTTGCCATACAGGTGCGTTACTACTTGCCATACAGGTGCGTTACTACTAGACATAAAAGTGCGTTACTACTTGCCATACAGGTGCGTTACTACTAGACATAAAAGTGTGTTACTACTAGACATACAGATGCGTTACTACTTGATATACAGGTGCGTTACTACTTGCCATACAGGTGTATTACTACTTGCCATACAGGTGCGTTACTACTTGCCATACAGGTGCGTTAATACTAGACATACAGGTGCGTTACTACTTGCCATACAGGTGCGTTACTTCTTGCCATACAGGTGCGTTACTACTTGACAGAAAGGTGCGTCACTCTTTGCCATACAGGTGTGTAACATCTTGACATACAGGTGCGTTACTACTTGACATACAGTGGCGTTACTACTTGCGATACACGTGCGTTACTGATTGACATACAGGTGCGTTACTACTTGACATACAGGTGCGTTACTACTTTTCATACAGCGGCGTTACTACTTG